AGAGAGAGAGAGAGAGAGAGAGAGAGAGAGAGAGAGAGAGAGAGAGAGAGAGAGAGAACAAGTAAGTCTCCAACCTAACGGCTGGCCTCGTGCTACCTCCATTGATAGGATGAGCAAAATGGAATGAATTCACCGTTACAACATGAAAATATACACTGCCACACTTGTTTGTTTGTTTTCGCTTGTATTTGAGTGTCTTTGTGTGTTTGTGTGTGTGTGTGTGTGTGTGTGTGTGTGTGTGTGTGTGTGTGTGTGTGTGTGTGAGAGAGAGAGAGAGAGAGAGAGAGAGAGAGAGAGAGAGACACACACACACACACACACACACAAACAAAAGAAAATAAAAACGCTTATCTTTGTTCGGGGGTTATTATTTGTTTTTTTTTACCTATCCGCAAACGACATTAATGACCCCCCTTACATTTCACTTATTTTTTTCAAGTTATTTTTGGTGGGGGACGCCATGCGGACGCGCTGTCGTACCAAATACCCTTACAAGGGTATTTGGTGTGCGTTTTGCAAGTCACGTCGGTGCAGCCTCGTCCGACTTTGACGGCGCGCTCGTGAATGAGTTGCGCGCTCTCCCGGGCAAGCGGCGCGCGTGGGGTATTGTCGACGAGAGCAACCATGCTCGGCCTAGCAGGGCGTGGCATAGCAAGCCAACGGGACGCGCGACCCCTAACCCTCTTACTCTTTGTGCATGTTTCCTCCCATTTGTTCTTTTTTTTTAATTATTATTCCTACTTTCATTTTCTTTACGGGTGTCTTTGACCCGGTGACCGGGTCCGAGACTGATGTCGGGTTCCGCAGCCCGGCCCGGTTAGTACTTGGCTGGACACTGGTGGCTGTCGCGGCAGTCGAGGATCTTGAGCACACACTTTTTTATTTTTGAAGGTCGCTCGGGTTCTTGCGTGTTCTGGATGCTAGAAAAATTCCTCTATCCATCGTCTTGAAACTCGGACCGAGGAGTTCAACGTGCATGCGAGCCGGTGGGTAATTAGCCAACGCGGCGGAAAGAAACCTGAGTGGCGGGGGTCGGTGCGGGCACACCGTCCGCCGGCCACAATCTGTTGAGAGAGGGTCGAATGTGAGTATACCCGCTAGGGCTTGCAAGGTGATGAAGTATGCCCGGGCAGGGCGAAAGGGCAAAAGTAAAAGGTTGCCGCATTGCTGGCTGCGCGGCCCAAGTTGTCCCAGCAGTAGGCCACTTCGGCCTGCAAAGTTATCATTTAAAGATTTGCTACAGTGGGGCCAGGGGGCACTGGTGGGAGCCTGCCGCAGTTTTGGTTGTGCGGCAGGCTATCACAACTGCAGGTGAGATGGACCCCGCCCCACTTCGGCTTGCAAAAGTTCTCATTTGAATATTTGCTACTACCACCAAGATCTGCACCAAGACCCGCTCCACCTGGGATCGTGTTGCAGGTTCCGCAGCAGGCCCTGCGCCCTTCTACTTGTTGCTTTGTAGGAGCAACTTCTATGGCTGAATGTAGGCCGTGCGCTGCAGCGGCATCCCTTTCGGGAGTGATTGTTTTCAGCTAATGAGTTGTTACTCACCCCTTAGTGGATTTCGACTTCAGTGACCGGCGTCCTCCTGTCTGTATCGGCTGGCGCATCATCGCAGCGTCTGGATTAGCGCACAATGGCACCAAGCAGAGAGAGGAAAAACAACGTATGAACCTGGACGGTATGCTGGGCAGGGGGCATCCGAGGCAAGAAGAATGCAGCAACCGAGAAGAAGCAGCTATGGTAGGGTGAAAAGAGTGTAACTCATCCATTTCACAATGAAATCGGGTGAGAACAAATGCTAGACGTTTTTTTTTTAGGCCGGGCGAACCGGAATCTGACATTAGTTTTAGTGGACAGTCAGTAGAATGGGAGATAGAGAAGAGAGGTGCGCGTGGAGATGGAGGAGAGTGAAGGTGGCGGAAGGGAAAAAGAGGTAACTCGCTCAATTCTCCATGGAATTGAGCGAGTGAAGATGCGAAATGGGGTTTTTAAGGCGGGGCGAACGCAGTGGTAGAATTAGTTTTTGCACTTGGTCGTTAGTCTGGTTGGGATGAGTGGTAGGAGTTGCGCGTGAAGAAAATAAGCGTCATGTGGAAAGTGTAACTTTTCGTCTTTCGGGAGAAGATTCATTTTACTTTTTCTAACTTGTTATTTTTTGCTCGTCGTCGTGACCCCGACCTGACTGATGTCCTTGCTGCTCACCATTATTGATCAATCTTAAGAAATACGTTGCCAAAAGTGACAGAGAGAGAGGCATGAGAAGCGGGGAGAGAATGAACCTACCCACGTTCTAGCAGAATATTCATTCTTATTTTTCTTCAAGTGTAGTTAGCGCCAACTTCAAAGTTATATTCCCTTCCTCGTGCTGCTATTGGGGTCACGATTGTCATCATGCTGATCAAGGTTTATCTCGATCATGGTGCGTGCCTCGGATTTGTTTACTAAAGTTTTGATTGAACCTAGCATGCAAAGCGACCAAGTGCGCTCGTGAACTGAGGGGTGAGCAGCCGGCGGAACGAGCGCAGCAAAAAGAGAAAAGTGAGAAGGGGGGGAGATCGAAGACGAGAAAATAGTCTGTCGTTGCCCCTACGTTCGTCTCGTCGTTTTTTTATCGCGTTGCGACTGCTCTTTGCTATAACCATCCTCGACTGGTTGTGCCCGTTTTCTCAGACTACAGGCAAGAGTAAACTTGACAGCTACCATGGGCTAGGTGTGTGTGTGTGTGTGTGTGTGTGTGTGTGTGTGTG